CAGGAAAAAAAAATAAAGCTCCGTGGAGGAGGTGCAGATACATTCCCTTGGCCGGGGAGTTACTGGATGATCTGAGCCAGGGAACAGATAGTTGGATTTCCCTGGTTTCTCCCTTCAAATAAATCACAACTCCAGAGCCCTTTAAACTCTGCAATATGATCTGTTCCAATAAGGAAGGGAATGAAAGGCTGCGTCTCTCTGGAAGCCTCCAGAGCCATAAATCTACTATGTACAAACACATACCAGATTTCCAAGTGCATTTATTTTATTGTATTGTTTTAACAGAAAAATCAAACTGCAATAAACTCAGTCCCTCATTAGCTGTCTCTGTGTCCTGGCCAAACGCTGCTAACGAATAAAATCAGGACAAAGGAATGTGGCTGTCGGTCAAGAGCCCGGCCGGGCGCTGACCCCCCGAAAAGCGATTCCCTGCAGCGGGGCAGCCCGGGGGGATGCGAGGGGCCGGATCCTGCCCTGCTTATGGCCAGGGCTGTGCTGGGTTTGGCTGCTCCGAGTCCCTTTCTGGCCAGCTCCGCAGGGTTTTCTGCACTGGTTTGCAGTGGACCTGGCTGTGCCGAGCCCCAGTTTGGGCAGGGGCGTGCGTCCCCCTGCCCCAGCCCCCTGTGTGTGGCTGCCTTGCAGAAGTGCTGGTGAAGCACGGGGCAAACGCTCCCCGGGCTGGCAGTCGGGGCAGTTTCAGGGCTGTTGGTCATTAATCATCCCCTGACAGTCCTGCAGGGGCCAGCCACACCAGCAGAGCTCCCTGGGGATGGGAGAGCCCAGGGAGGGGATGTGCTGGCACCACACTTTGGGTTTTCCCAGGAGGGGGGTCCCAACCCGAGCCTCCACCCCACAGGACCCCTCTGGGCTCCGCTGTCCCCAGCAGCACCACCACGCCTCGTCCCTCACAGCCGCTCTTTTCACGCCTTGTCAGCAAGCACCATTTTGGGCTTAAAAACCAGAAACGAGGCCAGAAGCAGGGGTGGCGGGCGGGGGGTGGCAGGGGCACGGAGCAGAGGGGGCCGGGCACGGAGCGGTGCTGAGTGCAGGAGGTGCAGCACCTCGGGCTGATCCTGGAAAAAAGGAAAAGGAAGGCAGAGCCGTCCGGGAGGGAAGGAGGCGGCTGTCCCCCAGATTTATGGAGCCGCAGCGGCCGGGGAGCCCCCCCAGCGCCCGAGCCCTGCCTCAGCCCACAGAGAAATTCTTTACTTATTGAATCACATTTGTCATCCCTAAATACATATGCAGGCCCGTGTTTCTGAATCCATAAACATCTTTAACTAACTCCACTCAGCTAGGCCTCTTTCAGCAGTAATTTATATTTAACTTTTTCCATATGCGGGGCCTGTCGCGTTGGTGTCATTTCCGGGAAGGCCGGGGGGGCGCGGGGGGCGGCGTGCTTGGGGCTGCTGGAGCAGCCCGGCTGCTGGCACGGCGCGAGAAATCCACCCGGCAGAGCCAGTGCTCATTAATCATTTGAACTACCAAACTGCCAGCTCCTTTCAAGATCTTTCAAGAAGTGTTTTCACCCAAAATAGAGTTGAAAACGCGCCGGGCCCTACTTTCAGAGTCTCATCCATCTGGCCATTATGGGGAGTGTCAGGCGGCTCTGACAGACAAGGCTGCTCTGTTCGAGGGGCCCCCGGCTCCCGCAACCTGTCACAGCGCGGGGCTGAGCGCTCCTGACAGCTCCATTTGTACCTACAGAAGAGATAAAAGCGCCCTCGCTGCGCCGGGCGGCGGCGAGGGATGAGCGGGGGCACCCCGGGGTGCTGGCGGCATCCCCCGTACCCCACTTTGTCCCAGGAGAGACCCAGCCCCTGTCCCCAAAATCCCATCATCGAGTCGTGCTGGCTGCTTGGGCGATGGGCATCGTGCATGGGGTGGGCTGCGGGGGTCAGAGCCCCCTCCTGTGGTGCTGCAGCCCCGCGCCCTGGCACCGAGCATCCCCTACAAAACCACCCGGGGCCCCGTCCCTGCTGGAGGCTGAGCCCCCCCCCAGCTCTCTCCCCGCTGGCTGTGCGCAGCCCCCAAGTGTGAGCGGCGTGAGTCAGCCCCCAAAAATAACACCCTGGGTCCTGGTGCTACGAGAGCTCCCTCCAGGCTGCGGCTCTTTCTCACGCAGAGGATGCAGCAGCGCAGCAGGAGGCTCCTGGGGACCTCGAGCTCTTCTCGCAGCTCTCCTGGGGAGAAACCCCTCCGGACCCCGACCCGGGGTTTGCTCCTTGCTCTTGGACAGGCTGGCAGCAGGGCACAGCCGGAGAGGTTTGGGAAGCAGCGAAGTGGCAGCCGAGGGCACGACACGTTTCTGCAGCTGGAGGAGCAGGCGAGGCGCGCAGCGAGCGAACGCTTCCCGAGCAGTTGTTCCTCATCTGAAATTCAGCCAGAGCCTGAGAAACGTGCATAAACACCAGAAGGCACGGAGGTCTTTTCAGCTCCATTCCTCGGTGGTAAATTCCTGTTCCCACCCCTGCCTTGCAAGGGTTTGTTATCTGGGGTGGGTTGAGCAATAATTTTCTTAAAAACATGAGGTTGCTCCATGCCTGTGACAAATCAGCGGCTCGGCGCGAGCACGGCTCGCGCTTTGGTTCATGTCAGAGACATTTTCCACAGAACATGACTCTTTCCACCTTGGAAGCCGGACCTGGCCGCCGTCCCTCTGCACCCCGTGGACGTCACTGAGGCTGTGCAGAGAACTGGAACAGAAAGCCGTGAAGGTAACAATTGCTCCAGCAGAAACAATTAGTCACTTTTACAGGAGCTCTGCCCAGCAAAGCTCCCAGGCTCGGCGCTGGGTTCGCAGCCAAGGCTGCAGTTACCAGCCCCATCCGAGCGAGGCTGCGAGCAGGGACACCCCCATCACCGCACCACGGGCACGAGAGGGCCGATTGTCCCCAAGTGCTGGTGGCAGAAGGGGTCCTGTCACCACGCTCAGCTGGGGGAAGGCAGGAGAGGGGCACAGCAGAAGCCAGCTCTGGATTGCAGCAAGCGAGCGTGCCAGGAAAGAGCAAGGCAGCAAATTGTTCGAATGCTTCCAGCTCCCCTCGCCTCTGCCCCAGGGAGAGGAGTGTGGTGAAGGCGGCGAGGGCGGCATCTCAGCAGAAAGCTCCAGCACGATTTGAAGTGCCTCAGTCCCCTCTTCTGTCCTCTGCTCTCCAGAGCCACCTGCCCGTGGGGTGAGCACTCACCAAGGGCAGGCACCGAGCACCCCGGGCTCCTGCAGGTCCCTTTCTCCCTGGCAGCAGCGTCTCCTCCTCTTGGTGATGCACCAGCGGGGTCTCAGGGGTCTCAGGAGGGTGCCGTGGGGTGGCCGGTGGAGATCCTCGAGCCGCTGCCACGAGTCCTCTTGCAAACACGGCGAGGAAAACCAGGCCATTTGGGTTCTCCGATCCGGCAGGGTGCCCGCGGTCGTGCTGCAGGAGGCCTGATTTATGGGCGATTATAAAACCAGCCGAGGCTGCTGCGTCTGCTCGCCAGATGCCAGGGACGCTGCGTGTCCTGCAGCCGCCGCCTGCTTGCTGGGCCACGAGGGCTCCAGGTGCCAGCAGGGACCATCCCGGCGTTCGGCACCATGAGGTGCTGGATGTGCCACCCTGCTCAGTCCCCACGTTGCCATCACTTTGCTGGTGCAGCATCAGCTCTCAGCATCTTGCCAAGGCACCGCCGGGGTCGCTCCGTCCGCGGGGAGGTCGCATTCCCCCCGTCCCATCCTGTGCTGGAAGGTGGGGTGAAGTCATGGCAAAGCTGCTCCGGGAGGTTTCCATAAACGCTGTGTTAGAAAACATTATGGTCTGTGGAAATCTGTTTGTTATTGTGAATTGAGCTCAAGGAATACACTCTGTAAACTAAGCTGTCAGCCGAGCGTCTCCCCCAGCATTCTCCAGCGAGCGTTTAGCTGAAACATTTGTGTATACAGAATTACGACTCTTCAGTTATTCATCATGATAATAAACAGAGAGATAACTATTAACCATGCATCACAGTAATGAACAGTATCACTTACACGCGCGCCGGGGTAAATCTGAGCGAGCGGGGCCGCGCTTTGCAGGGAGCCAGCGCGGGCGCAGCTCCGCTGCGGGACCGGGGCAGCTCGCAGCCCGACGGTGCCCCCGTGCCAACGGTGGTGCTGAGCAGGAGCAGGCGCTGCAGGAGGTGGCAGGAGCCACGGCCACGTACGGTCACCCTGGGTGCTTCCCATGCTGCTGCCAGCACAAAACGGGCGTCCTGTTATGGGGAAGGCGTTGGTGCATCCCCGCTGCAGGCAGGTGCCGGTGTCGCCGGGAGGATTCGTGCCATGCACCGGGTTTTGGGCAGTGAAGTGACAGCGGTGGCTCCTCAGCAGTCTTACAAAGCCCCGTGAAAGCCTTCTCCCATTCTCTGCAGCTTTCCAGGCCGTTGGGCACCCTCTGGCCGCTCCCCTGCGCTCCTCTGCCTTTGGGGCTCTCTGAGCACCTCGATGTCCTCGCTCTTCTCCACGCGCCTCCTCTCGCTGGCGCTCTCCTGCTACTGACATTGCCTGGAGGCAAACCACAGGACACCCCTTTATGCTCCTGAGCCCTTCTCCCTTTGCTCCCCCTCCGTCCCCCCATCTCCAAGCTCGCTCTGCACAGCCCCAGCCCCAGCCAGGGGGGCTCAAGGGGACACTTCCCCCTGGGAAGGCTCCTGCAGGGCACTGGCAGGGGGACAGTCGATGTCCCCAGCGGGGAGGAAACACAGAGCCTGTATTCTCCAGGGCTTCCACCAGGGCTCACGCGGAAAGAAAAGCTGCTTTATGCAGCCGAGAAACTTCTCATCCACCCACCAGCGCTGCTGCTCCGGCCCTTGCCTCCGCAGCCTGACCTGACCTCCCCTCGGCGGGCACGCACCAGCCCTTGAAGACTTTTGGTGCTCCGCTCTCTGAACCGCTTTGTGCACCCGCGGGCAGACACCTCCGCACGGGCATCGGGGGGTTGCGTGCCGGAGAGGAAGGAAAACAACAACAAAAAAAAAAGAAATAATAATACGGCCTTGCTCTTTCGCTCGCATATTTATTGGGTGGACAGATCGTTTGTGGTCAGATGGGCTTCGGGCTTTACAAACGGGGATATTTATACGGCGCGCAGCACGGCCGGGCTGTTTTGCATGTGCGTCCAAGTCATTCCTTCCCCGGCACAAGGTATAATGTTGCCTTTGTTCAGCTGCCTTCCACGGCCGGGGCAAAGCGGGAGCGCACCGTGCCTTTCAGCCGGAGCCCCCCCTCGGCCGCTCGCACCGAAATCCTGCATGTTTTCCGCTGAAATAGCACACAGTCGCGAAGTGTCCTGACTCCTTCCACACACACTGCGGCCTCAGCAACTGCTGCAATAAATCAATAGGAAAATAGAGGCTGCCAGTTAGACTAAACAAGTGCATTTGCAAGGATTGCTAACCCTCATTAATCACTCTGACAGTCCTAAAAACACATTTCCCCTTTAATGACTGTATTTGGATAATCAGTGCTTTTTCCTCCTCAGTCAGAGCCGGGGTAACTGACAGCTGGTGTTATTATAGCCGTCCACGGGAGAGCGCTGGGATCAGGGTCACCTGAGAGTCAACCGCTGGAGGTCTCTTGCAATTCAGGGCTAGCTGGAAAAGTTGTTGTTATGCAATAAGGAGGAGAGCTGCTCGCTGCCAACGCAGCCTCAAACACACATTTCCCGTGTCCTAACACCCACCTGTGTTATCCGAGCCTCAGCCCGCTCCCAGCCCTCCCTATCCCACCTCCTGCCCCAAAAAGCACCCCCTGCCAGCCGGCTTTGAAAGGCCCTTTCTTGCTGCTCCGCGCTCCCTTTAGGTGACTTTTGCTTCCCGGGGAGGTTTGAAACCTCGCACATTTTTCTGTATAAATGATGCAACACATTAATGCACAGCACATTATGAAAATGGTAATTCAAACCCATACAACTCTAAATTAAGCCATACATTATCCGACCCACTCAGCCATATATTTTGCAGAAAGACAGGATTGAATCAAATCAAACCGAAACTGTGGAGTGCAGGTTGTTAGACAGAATGATTAATAAAGTGCATCCCAGTGCTCTTATTATAAAATGAATTCTGCAGTAACCTGGGCATACATTAGATAGGGAGTTATTTAATATATCGGCAACACAATAATTTCCTAGCAGATAAAGCCCCCGAGTGTCGGCTGCTATCAGATGATACTTTGCAGTGTTTACACATTCTGGCCCTGGTGCTGCAGTCTTTAGGGAGGGGAAAAAATATTCCTCGGGGAGCCGTCTGCACGGCAGGATGCATCTGAGCAGCATCCCGGGCTGCCTGGAGGCGGGGGGAAGGCGCATGGGGAAGGCGCATGGGGCTCGCTTTTGGAGCTGGGAGCATCCCGGTGCAAGGAGGGGTTTGGGGAGCGAGGGGGGACAGACCCCACACCGATCACCCGGGGCTCTCCCGCACACAAGGGGTGCTGCCCACGGACCCCTCGCCCCTGCTGCATGGCAGCATGGCACCGCAGGCACGCTGTGACCCCGCAGCCCGAGGCCCTGAGCATCCCCCGAGCATCCGCGGGCATCGCGGCACCGCAGCATCGCCTTCCCTGCCCCATGGTGCAGGGAGAGCCTGCGCACAGCCCCGCAGCGCTGGTGCTGAGGATGCCTCAAAGCCCAGCAGAACAAAATACCCTGCAGCAGGCGTGGGGTTTGGGAGCTGTGGCTGAGGAACCGAGATTTACGCCATGGACCAGTGGTGTGCCCGAGAGAGGCCGACACCGAGCAGCCTTGCCAGAGGGCTCAGGGCAATGCCCAGGGAGAGGCGACGCTGCCAAGGGGCAGGGGAGACGTTCAGGGACGGGGACCATCGCGCCTGCAAATGCTCCGCAGCAGCAGGGATCGAAGCATAGAAGCTATCTGGCAGCGCCTTGGCCTGCCACCCTGTCCCTCTGCGGGGAGCACCCGCTGCCATGCCCAAAACCTCCTCGCTCCCAGCCCGGTTCTGCAAACCCGCGGCCCTCATCCTGCCAACACCGCCAGCGACTCCGCAGGCAGACCCAGCGCAAAGCCAGACCCGAGCTACGGCCCCAGTGGGGTAACCACAGACCCACAAAACTGCTCCCCGCATCCTGGGGGGCTCAGGGTCGGGGCTGCCCACCCCTCCGAGGGGCCACCGGACCCCGGCCACCCCATTTCCAGCGATCGAGCCCCGGCCACCGCCCACCCTCCGGCCACGCGCCCGCAGGCCAGCGCTCGGAGGAGCGGGCAGAAAAATAAAAATCTCACTGGCAAAGCGAGCCCCCGTGCTAAGCGCATTATTTTTCAGCTCAAAGGACACAAAGGAATTTCAACGCGGGGCATAAGGCAACGTAGAGAAGGCAATTAACTGGGATTAATTGCATGACTCACCCAAAACGCAACAGGAGCAAAGCACTCAACAGCAGAGAGCAGCCGTGTGGGGCAGCACGGGGGGCTTCACGGGGGGCAGCCGGGGGTCCCGCTGCCAGGGTCAGGCTGTGGCTGGAATAACAGCTTGGGGATGGCCCCGAGCAGCGGTGTGGGGTGGGCGCAGCGGGCTGCAGCCCCCCCAGTCCTGCCCGTGCTGCTGCAGGCTCAGCACCCAGCGGGAGCGAGGGGTCTCGGCGCCCCTCGCCAAAACCCACCGAGCTCCTCGCACGGCTGCGATCACGCGGGGAGGGCAGCCCGAGCCTGCCCCACACGAGGTGCAGAAGCGGGACTGGGGGCGCGTTACGCTGCAGCCCCCAGCCCCAAAACCCAGCCCCTCCGGTGGGCACAGCACCACGACCTCTGCGCCCGGGGGTCTCGGGGAGGAACGGGACCGGGGGGCTCTTGGCATCGCTTCTCAGCTCCGCCGCCTTCTCCAACCATCCCCGCGCCCCCCCGGCGCTCCGCTCCCTCGGGACCCCGACCTCGGGACCCCCCCGCTCCGCAGCCCGGCGGCACCCAGCGCTCAGCACCCCGAGCTCAGCACCCAGCACCCGCCCCCGCCGCAGCCCCCCCCCGGCCGCCGCCGCCGCTAGATGGGGCTCGGAGCTCGGCGCTCGGCGGCCCCGGAGCCCTGCGGCGGGTGCGGGGGGCACGGAGCCCCGGGGGGGGGGATGGAAGAGAGCACACACCACAGGGTGAATATAACCAAGTATTCATTTATTAACAAAATAAGACTTACCAAGCCGGAGCTCTAGGCACCCGAAATGCTCGCAGCCCTCCCGCGGCGGGGCTGGGGCTGGGGGCGGCCCCGCGCCCGTCGCTGCTCCGTCCTCGGGGGGGGGGGCCCGGGCCCGGTGCCGGTGCCGGTGCCGGTGCCGGGGGGGGGGTGGCCGGGCGCTGCCCGGGGGTGCCGCTGCTGGGCGAGGGGCGGCACGGCCGGGCCCGCTCCCGTCCTTCCACCCGCGGCCACCCCCGTCCCCAAAACACATCGCAAAAAAAAAAACAAAAACAAAAAAAAAAAAATCAAAAATTAAAAATTAAAAAAAAAAAATTACATCTGTTAACTTTACAAATGGAAACTGAATCCCAGAACGATAAACGAGGAGGGGGAGGAGGAAGAAACGTTCTTTTTTTTTTTTTCCTTGTGTGTCAGGAGTCATGCAAGAATTTCTCAGGGGGGAAATTAAGAAGGGGAAGAAAAAAAAATCAAAAGAAACAGAAGGGAAAAATAAAAGCCCCACACCTGCAAAGTAAAGAATTTTTTTTTTCTTTTTTTTTCTTTTTTTTTTTTTGGACACAGACTTTTTGCATACCATTGATTCATTGGTGGATTAATGCACTTATATTCCCAGCTTTAAGCTAACATACAGTAAATAAATACACAGTCCAAGGAGGGAGCGGGGAGCTCGGGCAAGGAGGAGACCGGAGGAGGGGAAGGGGCTGCTGTAGTTACTGGTATCCGAGTGCAGAAGCTGAAGTTAGTCTTTGGCCGTAGAGCGCGTACGGGGAGTAGTAAGGTCCGGCGGCCGGCAAGGACGGCACCGGCAGGGCGCCGGCTGTGGGCAAATGGCTCTTGCCGTAGGGGTGGTACCTGTTTAGTCCCAAAGTGTGTGGGCTCCTCAAGGACAGGGAGGCCGGTAACGTGTTGGGGCTCCCGGGGGCGGCGGGCGGGAGGTGGAGGTGGCAGGAGGCCGCGGAGCCCAGCCCGGAGGTAGGGTAACCCGCCAAGAGTTTCTCCGCCCCCGGCAGGGCCGTGTGGGTCCGTAGGTGGGTGAGCAGCTCCTCCGAGGTGGCAAACCTCTTGTCGCAGGGTCCGCTGGCAGACACCCAGTTGCATATGTGGGGCAGGGGGTCGTTCTGCAGCATGAAGCCGTAGGTGTAGAGGGGGTGGCCGGGCAGGCTGGGGGTGCCGCTGGAGGAGAGCGTGGTGTGCACCGAGTGCAGGGGGTGCGTGGGGTACACCAAGGGGTATCCGCTCTTCAGGCTGCCGGGGTCGTGCACGCAGCTGGAGCAGTTGCTGGAGCCCAGGTGCGAGGCGCTGTGGTAGCTCAGGCAGTACGGGTCCCGGCATAATCCCTGCATGAAGGAGGGCGGCGAGGCCCCGGTGAGCGGGCTGGAGCTGGGCGGCTTCCCCGGCAGCCCCAGGGCAGCCCGGCAGCTGGCCGCCCACCAGCCCCGGCTTGGTGGGGTCCAGCCCGGGCACGAACTGGGAGGGGTAACCGGCGTAGGCGCCCACGATGGAGCCGTGGTAGCCGATGCTGGAGGGCGGCAGGGGGAAGACGGAGTGGCCGGGCTTGTAGGGGGACACGGGGGCCACATGGCCGGCGGGCGGCAGGGCGGGCGGCTCCGACTTGCGGCCCGAGGGGGGCTCCCCGTGCGCCCCGGGCTCGGCCGCTCCGCGCCCCAGCGCGCCGCCCGCCCCGTCGGGGCTGGGTTTGGCCGCCTCGGGCTCCTTCTTCTCCTCGGCGCCCTTGGGCTCGGCGTGCTGCGGGGAGGCGCCGCGGGAGCCCCCGGGCGAGGCGGCGGCGGCGGCGGCGTGCGGGGGGAACGGCGGGCAGGCGGCGCTGGGCACCCGAAAGCCGGCCTTGTCCGCGCCGCCCTCCTTGCGCGGCTCCGCGCCGCCCTTGGAGTAGGGCTTGAAGCTGGATTTGTCCTCGGGGGGCGCGTCCCCCCCCGGCGGCTTGAGGGCGGCGGGGCGGGCGGAGGGCTCCTTGTCGGCGGCGGGCAGCCCGGCGGCGGCCACGGCGTTGAGCTTGGAGGAGGGCGGCGGGTCGGGTTTGCCGATCTGCGAGCAGGTCTGGGCCAGCAGCGCCAGCGGGCTCTTCTTGGCGTCCAGCTGCGGGCGGAGCGGAGCGCGGCGCCGGTCAGGGGGGGCCCCCGACGGCGCCCCCCGGCCGGCCCCCCCCCCTCACCATCGCTGCACCCCCCCCTCCCCTTCCCTCCCTCACCGCGGGGCCGGCGGGCGCCGAGCCAGGGCGCGGGGAAGGGAAGGGAGAGGAGGGGAAGGGAAGGAGAGGGAGGGAAGAGAAGGGCAGGGAGGGAAGGGGGGCACGGGGCGGGGGGCCGCGGCCGGCCGGGAGGGAGGGAGCCGGGCACGGGCGGCACCGGGGGGTCCGGGGGCCGTCCGGGGTGAGCGGGCAGGGGGGGAGCCGGGGCCGCGGGGGCGTTGGGCACTGACCTCGATGGGGCTGACGGGCGTGGAGGAGAGCGGCTGGAGGTACTCGGGGTGCAGGAGGTGGCCGCTGTGGGCGCTGAGCATCTTCAGGACGCGGATGGGCAGCCGGCTGGCCTGGCGCAGCGGGTCGGCGGGGGGCGGCCGGGGCGACGGGGCGCCCGCGGCTCCGCGGCTCGGCGGGGTCCTCGGCCGGGGCCCGCCGGGGGCTCCGCTCATTTGGGGCGGGCGGCGGCGGCGGGCGCGCCGGGCTCCGCGGGGCCGGGCCGGGCCGGGCGGGCGGCGGAGCGGCGGCGGCGGCGGCCCCGGCGAGACAAAAAACCCTTCCCCTTCCCCACCGACACGTCAAATAGCCCCGATGGCGGCCGCGCTCCGAGGGGGCCGGCGCCGCGCACCAATCCGAGCCCGGCCGGGCCCCCGGGGCGGGGAGAGCCGCCGGTGGGGGGGGCGAGCCGCCGTGCTGCCGCCGCGCCGCCGCGTGGGGGAGAGCCGCCCGGCTCGGCTCGGCATCGCCCGGCTCGCCAAAGCTCGGCATTGCTCAGCTCGGCATCGCCCGGCTCGGTTCAGCATCGCCCGGCATCCTCCGGCATCCCCCCGGTCCGGCACGGCTCAGCTGGGCATGGCTCAGCTGGGCATGGCACGGCTCAGCACGGCTCAGCATCGCATGGCTTGGCATAGCCTGGCACAGCTCGGCTGGCACGGCTTGGAATAGCACGGCACAGCCCTGCCGGCACGGCTCAGCTGTGATATCTTATCACGGCACGGCTCAGCTGGCACACGGTGTGGCATGGCTGGGCTGCTGCGATGTGGCTCGGCTGAGACCAGCCTGGCACAGTTTGGCACGGCACGGCTCAGCTCAGCACCCTGCAGCCACCCTGCAGCGCTGCCCGGTGTCCCCCTGATGGGGGGACCCCTCCAGGACGCAGCGCAGCCCCTGTGGGGTGGGTGGCAGGGCAGCGGTGTCGCCCAGACCCCAATTGTGCACGCACTGATTTTGCACCTGGTGCAATCACCGGAGTTTAAGTGATTTTTAAATGATCACAGTTTTGTGATTCTGTGATTATCACAGCATTGGCCATCGCACAGCGTTTGCCGGGGGCAGGGGGTCGCTGCTCTCACCCCATCAGCGTCCCGCAGCCATCAGGGTGTGCACCCCGTGCACCTGCAGCACCGTGAGCAGCTCAGAGCTGAGCCAGGCCCACAAAACGTGCGATTTCCTTGCGTTGTTACCAGGAATACTCATTTCTGCCAGTGGTTTTCCGCTCCCTTTGGTTCAGTCTTAAAAATTGCCCAGTGACAGCGCAGACTCCTGTATAACTAATTAAACTTCTCGACAATTATCTTCCGATTTCTAGTTACCTTTCCTGGATGGCTTTGCATTAAGTTCACACACCCGGGGGGCTCCATGGTCGGGGCCTGGAAGCCTTCATCCTGCCGGGCCCTGGCTCTTGTAGGCTTTGGCTGGGGGAATGGGGGCTTGGAGAGACCTGCAAGGGCTGGGGGGCACCATGGGGGTGTGCGAGGCTGGGTTGGGGCCAGGGCTGGCAAATTTGGCTGAAGGTCGCCAACGGGGCGCTGCGTGGCGGCGGCGTGCGCGTGGCCGGGGCACGGACCCACCTCTGCCATCGCCGGGCTTGGGTTTCGGGTCCCTGCCGCCTGCCCGGAGAGGGAGAGAGAGACAGGGACGTGTAATTAATCATATTAAACCCTGACAGATGCTTTATGTTACAACAATGTTGCTATTATTAAGTTCATACCGCCACCCCTTCCAGAGCCTGTGCACGCCCGGTTCTGGGAAAAAGCCTTGGCTGGATCTCCCCCAGCGCGCCGGCATCGCCGTGGCACAGCGCGGCGTCCAGCCCGCGTCTCCAACCGCTATCAATCACGCCGATTGTCGGACCTGTCAATTTTGCCTCTTTGTGAGGCTTTTCTCTCTTCCCCCCCCCTCCCCTCCACCAAAGCTGACCGCAAGATTGATTCAATCCGGACAGCGTGGATGTAAAAGGAGAGGCCTGCCTTTCAAAGGAGCCATTCAAGTCAGAAGGAAATCGAAAAAAAAAAATAAAAAATCTTTCCTCAAAGTAATTCAAGTTGCATGCCAACAACAACACGGCGTTAACAAAATAAAATAAAATAAAATAAGGTGGGACAAGTGTGTAACTGCCGGGCCATCCAGCAGCCGCTCGCGGGGCAGCGGGCACCGGGGCTGCTTCACCACCTCCCCAAAGCTCCCGTGGCACCAGGGAGGCAGCACCTTGGGTGCAAAAGGCCCCAGCACCAGCAACTTTTCCACCCTTAACAGGAGCTGGGGTGCAGCAAAGCTGCTCATCGGGCTGGGCTCCTTTTCCATCCAACGAGCTGCTGGAAGGTGAAGACGTGCAGGGAGCGCCGGCACCGCCGCGTGCACCGGGGAGAAAACTTCTGCATTCGGCTGGAATAAAACATCGTGGAAGGATCAGTGCAGACAGTGGACCCTGCTCCATGCTGCGCTGTTACGAGCGCTTGCTGCCTCTGATTTTATTCTGCATGTCAAAATCTGTGTGGGTCCTGTTTCCAACCCGAGGGAGAGAAAGCAAAACGTCCTCACTTTGTGCCCAGCTCTGCCCCGCCACAAGTCCCCCTGTGCCTGGAGGGTGCCAAGGGTATTCAGGTGAAGCAGGCCAGACCCCTCGCCACATAAGAATAACACGGTGAGTTAAATGAAGAGCAAAATATTTTGAATGGAAGTACAGCCAAAAAAGACAGAAAGCCTCCACGAGCGCTTTCAGAAATGACTGATGGTGTTTTGCTCATTAGGCAGTGCCAAAAGGTGCCGTCCGGGGAAGGCGCAGGCCACGCCGCAGGTATTTTGAAAGAGGGGAAGAAGAAAGCAAACCTGGCAGCCCAGCACCAGGACAGGGACAAGGGCACGGGAGCACAACTGCCCTCAGCCAGGTCCCACAAAGGTCCTGGAGCAGTTGTGGGGTCCCCAGGGTGCGGGGAGGAACCCGGGGGGACCCGACCCGGCTGCGGGCTGGGGACCCCAGAGGCTCATTTAAAGCCCAGCTTTCATCGGTGCTGTGGACCTGCTGCTCCGTAGGCGAATTGGTTTTGGGGAGAGGTTCTGAGTGGGATCCCAGCCGTGTGTGCGAGGCAGAGCTTGGAGCTGTCGGGCTGCCCGCGCCGCGTCCACCTTCCCCGAACGCTGCGCCAGCCGGGGCCGCGCCGCGAGCTGCAGAACAAGTGCATAAAAATGATCTTATTTATTACAGGAGACATGTTTTAAAACAACTGACAAAATTGCAAGATGTAAAACGACAAGCGAGTGCTTTTTCTTTTTTAAACCCATATAGACTTCTGGCAATGATAAAAATAGTGTTTTCTTTTTTAAAGTTGGAATTAATCTTTCTTTCGAAAGCAATCATGTAGCAGGAAAGGCAGGAAGACACTCAGATATTAACTGGTGCTCACTGGATGATGGTTACTTATTGGGTAGCCTGGTAGCTGGCTTTCCTCTGCAGAGCGATTAACATTAAAGAACTGCGCGAACATTAAAGGAAAAAAGGTGAGATTTTTTTTCCCCCCCTCTATTCCCTTGATGTGTGACTAACAGCTGTTTTTCTGTGTGACAAATCAGTGGGGTCTTCCTGTTGTTGATGTAATGAAGCTGTTTCCTGGTGTGAAATTCTACAGGATAAATTGCACGAGGGGGAGGAGAACATCACACACTTATCAAAGTGCTGCGGAGGGAAGAAAAGCGCTCCTCTATTCGGCAGGGATGGGCAGCAGATCAAAACGCCCAGCGTGGCTGACATCGGGTCACGGTGACATTAGTTAAGACTTTTTTTTTTTTTTTGCCTGTTTATCTTCTCAGCGTTGTGCCGCGCCGGGCAGAGTGGCGGTCTTTACAAAGATGCTTTGTCAGTGGGGAAAATTCGGGGCATTTTCCCCCGTGACCCAGCCCCAGTTAACACCGTGGGTGCACAGGGAGGTGTCCCCGCAGGGGAAAAGGCTGCAGGGATCTGCACCATGGGGGCCAGCTTGGGTGCCTCAGTTTCCCCATCTGTAAAATGGGAACATGAGAGAGATCCCCGCGTCCTTTAGCATGGGGAAGGGGCCGTGGGTGGGTGCTGGCCCCCTCCAGAAGCGATGTGGGGACACGGATGCACCCCAGGGCTGGCACCCGGGGCTCTGTCTCCGTGGGTGCTCCGAGCCCTCAGACACACACGAGATCTCTTGTACCTCTGCTTTCCTTTTTTTCCTTGCCAGTGTTAGTTAATTAAACTATGCAAATTAAAACAACTTAATTTATATAATATCAGTACCAGAGCCTCAAACCATTTGGTGTAGCTCATCTGGCACGTACGTTACATAAAATGTTTGGAGCGGCTCTAATAAAAATGAAAAAGGCTGTAAATCAAGTTTAATTTATTCATTTTCTGTATGGTATGAAAGCATGCCAAAATCAGATTATTTATGAGCCCTTCATAACAATAGGCATTTTTATTGGTTGCAAATGACAAAAGGGCTTCTCAGAGGGATTTTTTTCTTCTTTTAAATTTTTCGAATGCCTTTTCAGAAACATTTACTTTTTGGACTCTATGATCTCAAAGAAAAATATTTAATCATTGATACAGTAAAAATAATTTATATTTAGATCCTGAAAAACACATCAGACTTTAGAACGTAAATATACACAGCTAATCCGGCCCAAAGGCTCCGGCTTTCCTGCGTACCACAGGTCATGGAGAAGAGCTGTGATTTGTGCCCACTTTCTTAAATTTCCCATTAAGAACAGAACCTCCCATACGTCTTCAGAAGACGTCGGAGCGACTCGGTTGGTTTTCTGGGTTTGTTTCTTTGTTTGTTTGCTTTAAATGATGATCTGGGGGGTTGATGGGCACCCACGTGCTTTAGGTGCGCTCTGCCCTCGTGGTGCACATTTGTGCGTGGCCACACGCTCGTGCCTCTGCGCACAAGCTCAGCACCCTGTGGATTTCCTTCTCCTCACCCATCTGCAGCTAATTCCCAAAGTCTCTGTCTCAGTGCTGCCACGAGCCCTCCCACCTGGTAAGGTCGGTCGGCCGCGCTGAGGCACCGAAAATCGGCCATAAAATCACTGCCTGGCCTCGGCCTCCCACCTTCCCTTCCCTTCAGCCACCTTTTGTCCGTGATCTGATACAGGTGGAACCAGAGCTGGGGCTGGGCGAGGGCTCCCTGCGGAGCGCCAGGGGCGATGCTGGCGCCTGGCATGC